CGGAAACTTCGTGTTTCTCAACACTAAACGCGAACTCAAGTGTCGCGAGAGTTCTCTCAATAAATAAAAGCAGTTTTGAACACTTGTGCGCGAATCGAGGCGTTTCTCATTATTGAAACTCCTTTTTATTTTATTTTCTGTTTTGTGTTTTAATTTTTTAGTCATTTCTGAAAATGATTTCCAAAACGAATGTCTTTTTGTTTGTAATTCTCTTCACTTTCGGTGAGTTTTCTTCTTTCTTGTATTGTTGTAACGCTCTTTCAGTTCGCAGCGAAGAGAGCGTCGATTTCGAGTCCATTTCTCCCCAACTGTTGGACGGAATGACCAAACATTTGACGGAAAACATGAATTCCGATCAAATCCAACAGTTGCTGTTGACCACAATCCAGCTGATGACGTCGATGGCGGAGAACGGCGACTTGAGTTCGCGACAACTCATGGACTCTTTGACCCAAGAGTTGAAACAACGAGAGCTCTCGGAAGAAGAAGAAAGCAAAGATAATTAATGTTTTTAACACATGTTCAATAAAAAGCAATTTTGAAAGTTTATTCAACTTTATTCCGATTTTATTCATTTTTGCAAATGTTTTTTACTTTAAAAGAGTGGAGAAAACGAAAGAATGGAAACATTAGTGAAAAGAATATTCGAAATGAAACTTCTGGTCATTCTTTGTGTCGTTTGCTTCTCCAACGGTAATCCCTTTCCAACACAATCCCTGTCTCACGCGCTCTCTCTCTTCTAAAGCGGAGAACAACTTCCACGTGAAACAGGTTTGGGACTCGATGTTCGGGACGGCGAACGGCTTCTGGTCGAACGTCCAGCCGGCCGTCAATTCGGCCACAAACGGCTTCAACGCCGTCTCCAATCTGTCGCACGTCGTGACGAACACCACTTCCAATGTGATGAACTCGAGTTCGGGCGTTGTCCAGAGTGTGGTCGGCAGCACCGATCTGCTGACCAAACCGCTGGTCAACACGATAAACGAAACCGTGAATTTGGTCAACGAATCGATTAAACCGAACAAAACCAAAATTAATGAACAATAAAACACTTTTTTTTTGCTAAACTCTGAATAATTGGTTGTTTTGAAACTCCGCCCAAAAACTAAATCAATTGCAATAAAAAGCGACGAATTTCTCGTAAATTTTCATTCAAAATGTCTTTCATTTCCACAACAATCGCTCTTCTTCTCGCTCTCCATCTTTCAAACGGTATTTCCAATTCAAACCTCTTCCCAAACCTCACGCTCTTTGCCTCCAAAGCCAAAAGTCCTCCTCAATGGCACCAAATGGTGCTGTCGTTGCAATCGATGATGAACTCGGCTCAAGACGTCATTTCCAACTCTGCGGTCGGCGTCAATAACGTGATGGGAAGTGTTTCGGGCAATGCTGTGGACACCGCCAACACTGCCGTCAATATGGCCTCAAACACAATGAATTCCGGGACAGGAGTGGTTCAGGAGATGACCGGCGGAACCGCTCACACGTTCAACGGTCCCGTTGTGTCCACTTTGAACGAGACGCTGAATCAGGCGTCGAATGTGTTGAATATTAAGCCAAATGTTACCAAAGATTGAAATAAATTGTAAAATTACTAAAAATGCATTTTTCTTATAATTATTGAATTCTTCGCAAGAATTCTCGAAATTCTTATTTTTTTAATGATTTGAATAAACGATTATTTATTCACGAAACGAAACCAATTGTTAATTGTGTTAATAAATTAAATCAGATTTTGTTCCCCTTTTTGGGACACAAATGTCGTGAAAAGCTTTCAAACATTTGTTGAGTTCTTTGACTCGAAAACTCCGCCCAAAAACTCGATCCATAAAAACGTTTTGCTTTTCGTTATTAACTCTCATATGAATCGCAAAATCTGTACAAAAATGCGTCAAAACTTTCTTCGCGTCTCTTTTCTCCTACTTTTGGGTATTTCTAACCGTTTCTTGAATTCAAACTCTAATCCAAACAAAACTCAGTTTCAGGCGTATTGTTGGCCTCGAGTGACGGCGATTCGCAGAGCGGCAACAGTTCGTCCAACATGTTGGACATCAACGGCTGGTTGTCTCAGTTGTCGGCCATTCCCCACATGATCACGAATATCGCGACCGGATTTCTCGGCAAACCCAACGCCATGAGCGCCAAGAACGAGACGAACGCGAGTCAAACGCTTTAATCATTAATCATTTATTTAAATCACAATAAAGAGATCTTTTTGCCGCTTCGCACGTATTTTCTCGTTTCTTTGATAACCGTTTCGTAATATTCGTCGCATTTGAAGCCCGGAAAGCCTTGAGTCATGTGACTGTCGTCCACATCCAAAGTCATGTAAAGGGATTCGCTTTCGGTGTAAGGAATCCAAGAATGCGAAGGATTTCTGAAANGAGAACGAAAGGTTTGAATGAAAGGAGAATTCTTGACTCGTTGTTCGTTCGGCATTTTGAATTGTGACGTCTCGTGAATAATGTGTTTATTGTAATGAAATTATATACAAAAGGTTTGCTAATGACTAGAATTACAATTAATACTGAATTGAGGCAACGGTTCGACGATTTTGTCGCGAAACACGCGATGAAGCGCTTCGCACACGAACCGGAACTGCGACGACGTCTGGATGAGCATGGCCCTCTGCTCGCGCATCACGCGCACCAGCTCCAGCGCCCCGATCGCTTCGTTCGCCTCCATGGCGCACATCGCCGCCTCCATCAGGATCAAGACGCCTGTCCTCCCGATGCCCGCCGAACAGTGCACCACAAATGGCTGCGAACTCTGCGCCCGGAACTCGCGCACAGACACTATGAGATCGAGGAAGTCGTTGTCGCGCTCGGGAACGCCGTGGTCGGGCCACGCCAGGTACTGCAGGTGGCGCACGCGTCGCTCCTCCTGCGTCTGCGAGACAGTCATTGTTACACGTGTTGTGTTTTTTGCAATCAAACCTTGGAATCCGTGATTTGAAAGATGCGCTCAATTGTGGCCAAACAATCGCTCTGTTGCACGAGACGCACGCGAAGAGCGCCGAAAACGCACAACTCGTCGTCCGCCTCTTCGGGCCAATATTTGTGGCACTTCTGGCGTCCCTTCTCCTCCAGAGGCGTCACCATTATGATGAGCGCCGACTGCTGTTCCCAAACCATTTGCCAGAAGTCTTCTGTGGTCTCTTTCAGCGGTCCCTGAGTGGCGATGTATCTCAAGGCCACACCAGTGGTGGTCACGTGCATCGTCACGAACGACGCGTTGATGTAATCGCCGGACAGAGCGTCGCGCAGAACCACGCGCGTCGAGTCGTCTGCGGAGAGATGGCATGAGATTGTGATAACAATAACAATGACTCACAGGGCGAGATGTCGCGGTAGCGGTTTTTGGAGAGGTTGTCGGGAAGTCGCGCGCAATTCATGGTTTCGCCGCTTTTCTTGCGATTCAATTGCTGTCAGAAATCAATAACAATGAGATTGAGAGCGAGAAACAGCGATTCAAACCTCGAACTGCAGAACGAGACTTCCGCTGTCGAGCCCTTCCGCCAACAATGCCATCGATTCGGCCAAAGCGTCCGCACGCGCTGTCGGCGAGGCGTCGGCAGGAATGTACTGAAAGGCGGGCTCTTCCGGCAGCAGAGCGTCGCGCGCGTACACTAAGGGGG